ATAAAATGTGCAAATAATTCCAAAGACTGCTAGACACAAGACCAAATGAATCTGGATTTCCTAAACGTACTATACACATAAACTTTTGCCGAAAGGTTTGCTATTTAATAACAAGATCGATGTTGGACTGATTAAAATTGGCAGTTTATTATGTGCTGAAAGGCAGCAGAAAATTTGGCAAATCGGCAAGCGAGGTCATTGAAGCGGAAATGTACTTGCTTTGGAATTGGTTTGGAAAATGTTTGTTGACAAGTGGAATGTACAACTAATAGGTTTTACAGGTCATCAATTAAAATAGGTAGATAGCAAATTTAATGGGCATGTTCCACTGACGCAGTTCCAATCGGAAAATCAATATTTGCGCTTTGATACTCACTAAGAATAATAAATGGTCTAGTTGTAACGATACAAATTGGCTACAATTCTGGTGGGAAATTCATTGATTCACAATACATTATACATCCAATATTGCTCGCTTGAGTTCAAATTCTAGTTCGTGCTTTTCTGCCGATCAAAAGCACAGTATTTTTAACTTTTCTGTGGCTAATTGACTTTTCAGTGCCTAAATATGCGCCATTTTATTTGGATTTTTCTCATTTCTGACAGCTACAGCTGATTGTTCTCCGTGCGAAGTAAAAAATGCAAACATTTTGAAAAACAAAGGCAAAAATCTGGGGCTCGACCCACAGTAAACGATTCAGCGCCACATAGCTCAGAAATCAGACAGTCGTCTACTAATTATAATGAGAGAAACATTCGCCCTCCACTCAGACGGTCATTAATTTGCGGTGTGCCAACGATGTTTACACTGGATTACTCCTGGCATATGCCCGTGTATATGGCAAATGGTACGAATACTCGCATATACATATATTCGCCTAACCAACTAGCAAATAAAATTGATTTTCTCCCCGTTGCTGCAACGGAACGGATTCTCAATTGCCAACAGAACAAACAAACAAACAATCCAACAAAAAGCTTTGACCAGACTGTAGTTTCGCTTCGGGCGAACTGGTCATCGCAAATAACGAAAATATTTTCAAGTCAAACAAAAAAAAACCCAGAGAGATGAGTGGGTGAAAAGAGCACAAGAAACTCGAATTGCAAATTGATTAAATAAGCGATTTGTCGAGAATTTCGTAGAGAACCCAGCGTTCCGAAGATGTTTTCACTCGATGCATGAGAAGCAATTCGATACACAGAATAGAGCTGGCTGCAATTTTATACCTTTGTTTACAGCCCGGCTAAAGTGAATCTGTTCGTATTCAAAATGAGTTGAAAGAAATATGGGTTTCGGTTTTATTTTGGGAGCAACCTGGAAAGTGGAAGTGAGCATCTGAAATGAGGTAAACAAAGTGGCAGTGGAGTTTCTCCGGGGAATACAAAGTAATATCCACTACAGCTAGTAAAGTACTTCTCCGGAAAGCCAAAGCCAAAACCGAAAGAAGTATACATTTTTCGAATTTCATAAAACAGAAACAAGTTGCGTAATTAAAATCTGGTTATAACTGAGGGATTTTTCTCCGTGTGAAAATTGGGAAAATGGCATAGCCCAGCAATAGCAAATCGTACATAACGAGGTGGGGAAAATGTGAGGGAAAGCAGTTCACATAGGGCAGCTGGCTGGCAGTGAGGTCAGTTATGTCAAAACAGACAGCCAGCCATGTGCAGTAGCGAGTGGAGTGTGTTCTTGTGGTCATCACAAGGTGGCCAAGCCTCAGAAGGCAGAGGAAAATCCGCGGAGAAAGAGTCAACTGGGCCAGGCGAAAAGGCAAATTGGCCGTGAGCACGCTCTTTAACCGCGCCGGCCAGGCAGAAAAGTTAAAGCTGCCGCAAGATGTGCGTTTAGCGCCGACAAAAAGGTGAACAGTCGCAAAGCAGGTCGTACATGGCATATAGTAATGCCCCAGAGACTTGGTAATTTTATAATAGAGCTCTCGTCTTTCACCCGATACTGGGAGCTAAGAGGAGGAGCGCTTCATATGTGCACATTTGTATGCGGAGGCATTTTATGGCAGCATTATACGTTCCCCTTTCCTCCACAGTGAAAACTCCCTCCAGTGGCCAGACAATGAGTGGTGCTCACAAATTGTTGCACACGCTGGCTGGCATGACACTTATTTGGGTTGACTGCCTCGGTTAACTCGTTAAAATCGCTCAGAAGCCAAAAGACTCCAGGGAAATGCACTAGAAAATATCTCAGAGAGAAGTCGGTCATCGGGAAAATGGATCATTACCGGCCAAATATAGACAAAGCTAATAGGACGCCTGCTGAAGCTCACATTTGGGCAGAAACTTTGCTCTTATAGATGAATTAGGTCGTTAAATCTTATATGCCAACTGGCAGCTAAAGTTTAGTTCGTCAGTTGTTACGAATTCGAATTCAAATAACGAAATTGCCAGCGAAACGCCCCAGCCACAACGACATAAATAACAATAAGGATGCTAAAATAAAGTTGTTATATCTACAGCTGAACATTTTGCAACCTTACTAATGATTTATAGGTTTTTCCCCAACTTTTAATTACTTTTGCGCACTGTAACTCGAAGAGGAGTTGCTGCTGGGCTGCATCTTCCAAGTTCGAGGCGTATTCGAGAAATCAGTGACGTCAAAGCCAAGTTAACTGGCGGTAGACAGTGGGCCAGTAGTGCTTAACCAGTGGATAGCAGGTGACAAACCCGCTTGGACGGACAACAAAAAGCGATTGGCAGCTTTGAAACTGGAAATTATAACGCTGAAAAGTAAATGATGATCTTGTTTTCATCGCCACTTAATTGCACCCTAGTCACGTTCGATTTGGGAACCTAACGCTGGGCGTGCTTAGGTTGCCTTGTGGATTATGGCAATAGTGCTGATCAGTCCGCTGATTTATAATGGCTTAATTCCAGGGCAAATCAAGGGCCTTGTCACAGGGATGACAGCTACAGCTGAGCTATAGTTGTGCCCAACGAATTGATTTACCATTTTGACACATTTATGCTAATTTCGAGTAGGCTCGACGAATTTCGTGTGTCCCCACACGTATATATCAATTGAAACTTGTTAATTTGCCGAGCAGGTTCTGCCCCCCACCTTTCCCACTTCCCCGCCGCCCAGCAATCACTCAATCAATTAGAACCAGTTATTTGTCTGACTTTCAGTCGGTGGTTAAAGCTTAACCCTTGGCCACATTTATTTACTTTGTTAAGACATTTTATACTGAAGTGACGTTGGCCATTGGCGTTCTATTTGATTTAACACATTTAGGAATTCGATGTGCTATAGGAGATATTCGGATATTTAGGTTTATAATATAGACTACGCTTTACGTGATTTGTGGATTATAACTATTGGTCAAATTTGAGAAGGGGTATGACAACAGATGCGTTTACAGATTTGGATCATATATTCGATGGTACTAGGAGATTCCCCCCATTGGATCCCTGTTTTATCTAAGTGTATTTTGAATTTAATTTCTAGTGGCTTCATTTATGGCACGTTAGTTATCCAAGGGTTAAGCATGGAACGGAAATGGAGCGAGCTTTTGGCCCAAAATGGCATCGATTTGAATCGAATTCGTTGTGGGCCAACTTCCGTTGGTCTTGGCATACCTTTCTCGATTTCAGTGTCTGTGATTCTCGTCTGCTCGATATCTCGGTTTTTCAGTTTCAGTTTTGGTTTCAGTTTCTCGCGATTGCCTACGTCACGGATATGCTTTATCTGGCTTTTTCTTTGCGTTTCTTGCTTTTTAACGCTGCTTGCTGGGTTTCACTGTGGATGTGTGGATGTATAGCAGTTGGCATAATTGAATTAGAACTGTAGTTCACGATAGAATTTTGCACAACGCATCGCAACGCGCGGGTGGGGGGGTGCGAGAGGAGGGGGTGTCCAAGTGGGGTCAACACATGTAAATGCGGTGTCAAAGCAAAATACACAAAGATCTTTAATGGCGTACGTGTGTGAGTGGGGAGCACATCGGGATGGGATGGTTGGAGAATGGGAGAAGCGTAAGAATGTGAATGTGAATGGGTAGAGAGTGGATAGGAGGATGAGTAAAAGGTGAGAGAGCGCAGCTGTTTTGATGGGGCTCTTTTCGCTGTTGCCTTTGCTCTATCTTTCGCTTCACTTCGGTTTGTTGATTCCTTTCATCTGTTCTGCCTTTTTCCTCATTTTTGCAGTAAGATTAGGTAACTTGTGTCTATATGAACATAATTCTTAACACATTTTACTGCTTGACACACACACTTATCATAAATATGTATGTTTCAAACCTACACACACACACACACATACACACACTCGGTGCGAGAGAGACACACACACGCACGCGGCAACAAAATCGATATTCTAAAAATAATATAAGTAAAAAATATATATGCTCATACGAATTCTAACCGATTGCGTGAGTGTGTGTATGTGTGTGTGTGTGCGGGTTGGCGATGGTAATTACATATTTATTTATTTATTAAAACTTTTGAAACACCGAATTGCGTCTGGGGATTTAGCCGCTTACTGCGCACTTGAAAAATTTGCATTCGCCTTGGAAATTTGGCTTTAATTTTGCACTCGGCTTTGTTTAGTTGCGCTTTATTTCTCCTTCTTGTTCGGGCTTGGAATTTTCGCTGCAGAATTTATTAAAAACCGACTGCGTATGTGTGTATATAAAAGATTTCTATATCTTTTGCAACCGACGACGAAGGCGGCATACGGCAACTGTGGCGATATTTTTTTCCTTCGCCCGACTCTCGCTCTCTTTTCGGCTTGCTCTCTCTTGCACATGTGTATATACTATACGCGAGAGGGAGCAGGCACGCACAAATGAAAATCCCTCTTTCTATTACATAGTATTGGTACTTGGAATAATATAACTATTGTTATTGTTTCCTTCTTGCTGACTTTCAATTGTTTGGTGCAAATAGTTAGCTCGATTAGCCAGTTGCGATTACTCATTTGGCTTTTGTTTCGAGACCACTGTGCCAGATTTCTGGGTGAGAGCGTGGTGAGTTTCGTTTCAACTCACCACCGAAACTGTTGTTGCGCGTCACGCTCTCAATTCTGGCTGCTCTCTCCAACAAACGGTCACACTGCAGTCTCAAAAATGCATAAATACCGTCCACTGCACGGGCACACCGGCGTACTGAAAGACGCCGCTGCTGTTCGTTTTTCTCCCGTTTTTGTTTCCTATCGAGGGCGATAACTAAACAAAGCTATCGTTATCGACCTCTCGCTCGCTCTGCATCTCTCCTTCCCTGTCACTCTCTATCTCTTTTTGTGTGCCTAATTTTTTTCTTTTATCCCATTTTTCATTTGCCTTCTTGGTGGAATTCCCAGCTTTATGTAATTTAGAACACAATGTTTGAGTTGCACTGTTGGCCGACTGCAGCTAAAAACTGCACAAAAAAAGCGACGCACACACACACCTTCGTGTATCCGGATTTCCAATTTGCACTGCTCTTCTAGCGGTCTATCGCGCACGCACTGCCACAATTTCACCCGCTTATCGCGCCGCAATATGGGACGTTCGCTTTTCAATCGATTTTTGTAGCCGGCAGGTGCGCTTTATGCGAGAATTACGAATTTTCTCCAGCGGCAACTAGAATCGTTCACACAGACACCGTAGAAGTGACGCCATCTTTGAAGCGTTTAGTGTTGCAAAGCGCGCATGCAAAAGTGTTGGCTAGCAACTGCGGTTGACAGAGTTGAGAGCGCAAAGCTATGGGTTTTTGGCGGAAAAAGCTAAATTGTTATTTCCAATTCTTCAAATCGCTAACCGTCATTTTATTAATAAGTTAACAAATTGAGAAAAGGACTATGATAAATCTGTGTTTGAGCTTGGCTCTTAAATATTTCTGCACTATGAGCATATAGTCATGCAGTAAGGTCATAACATTTCTGCATTTACTTCAACCATTCTCATAAAATCTTCGAAATGCAGATATAATAATATGTGAATATGAACTGACTTTTCTAAAAATTTTTTTAAATCTAGCGACATGCAATATAATATAGCAATTCGTTAATCATCATGCGATGTAATTTTATGAATAAGTTAACCAATTTAGAATGGACCGAGACATATACAAATGTATTTGAGCTTGGCTACTAAATATTGCTGTTATATAAGGTATGGTCATGTGGTACATGCTAAACAGGCATCAAATAACTCCGATTGTTTATAATATATTTGTTTTTAGGAGAATATTTGAAATTAATTTAAAATTGCGTTTAATAAAAATATAATAGAAATTATTTTTAAATCCAACGGCATGCAATATAAAGCTGGTATTTATTTCTAATCTGCTTGGTATTATACATTGACCCCATCCGGTCACACTGGTCATGAATCAGAAACGCACTAATTAGTCAAAAAAACGGTACAAAAGATCGCTTAATTGCTGAAATTTCACCTGTCGCAGCTAATTTTACCAATCAGCAGTTGAAAATCAGCTATAGGCTACCCAAAAACCCCGAGGATTGACCCCAAAACATCGCCGCAAAGTGGACAACTCCCAGTTTTCGGAGCACCTGCCCCTCAAAAAGGAGCATCGCGAGAAAAAGGCGAGACTTCGCAGCAGAATGTCCTCGCTCTCCGCGTCCGCGGAGAATGTGTCCAGTTTGGGACTGGGAACGGGCGGAGGAGGAGCCAATTCCCACGACGGCAACTCCCAGCAGGGCTCCGGATCCGACGGAGGATCCAGTATGTGCCTGGAACTGGCCCTCGAAGGCGAACGCCTTTGCAAGGCGGGCGATTGCCGGGCGGGCGTGGCCTTCTTTCAGGCGGCCATTCAGGCCGGAACCGAGGATCTGCGCACTCTGTCTGCCATCTACTCCCAGCTGGGCAACGCCTACTTTTACCTGGGCGACTACAACAAGGCGATGCAGTACCACAAGCACGATCTTACGCTGGCCAAGAGCATGAACGACCGACTGGGCGAGGCCAAGTCCTCCGGTAATCTGGGCAACACACTGAAAGTAATGGGTCGCTTCGACGAGGCGGCCATCTGTTGCGAGAGGCATCTTACGCTGGCCAGGCAGCTGGGAGATCGGCTGTCCGAGGGACGCGCCCTTTACAACCTGGGCAATGTCTACCACGCCAAGGGCAAACACTTGGGCCAGAAAAACCCGGGAAAATTCGGCGACGATGTCAAGGAGGCCCTCAGCCGGGCCGTGGAGTTCTACCAGGAGAACCTGAAGCTCATGCGGGATCTGGGTGATCGCGGCGCCCAAGGACGAGCATGTGGCAATCTGGGAAACACCTACTACCTACTAGGTGACTTCCAGGCGGCCATTGAGCACCATCAGGAGCGACTGCGCATTGCCAGGGAGTTTGGTGATCGTGCGGCGGAGCGAAGGGCCAACAGTAATCTGGGCAACTCGCACATATTCCTGGGACAATTCGAGGATGCCGCCGAGCACTACAAACGCACTTTGTCGTTGGCCGTCGAGCTGGGTGAGCGCGAAGTGGAGGCCCAGAGTTGCTACAGCTTGGGCAACACTTACACGTTGCTACACGAGTTCAACACTGCCATCGAGTATCATAATCGACACTTGGCCATTGCCCAGGAGTTGGGTGACCGGATTGGTGAGGCTAGGGCCTGCTGGTCGCTGGGCAATGCCCACTCTGCCATCGGTGGCCATGAGCGGGCCCTGAAGTATGCGGAACAGCACCTCCAACTGGCCAAGGAGCTGCACGACCCGGTGGGTGAAAGCACAGCCAGAGTGAACATCTCCGATCTGCGAAAACTGCTGGGAATGCCCGATTCGGAGCCATCGCCCACCGAGGAGGAGGCTCGATCCACCGCCTCCGATCACTCGGCCAGCGGAAATCAGTCGGACGGATCGGAGAACTCCCAAGGAAGAATGGTGAGAAAAAACAAGCTCTTAAAACATTACAAAAAGCAATATGAATGATTCCTGAGGTATTTTTAAACCATATTGGCATTCAGTTTGTTCTCTTTCTCGAAGTGGACACCTGCTGTTTGCAGTGTTTGCCCCTTTATGTTAGGGTAAATATTTATACTTTGTACCAAAACACATCGTTAAACTTTCAGTTTGAACACATGCTGAGAAATTGAAACCCTGAAAGATACATAGCTAAATTTATTACTTTAATTGCTTCCCGTCAGGTGCGCGTTCGTCGCCAGAGCATGGAGCAGTTGGACCTGATCAAGATCACACCCGATGGAAAGCGCATGCAGGAGGAGAAGCAACGAGCACAGGCGACCCGAAAAGCCAAAGACGACGACTTTTTCGAGATGCTTTCGCGGTCGCAATCGAAGCGCATGGATGACCAGCGCTGTTCGATCAAGGTGAATCCCGCCGGAGCTCCGGCGGTGGCCACTGGCGCCACACGTAAACCGCTGGTGCAGCAGAACTCGTTGTTCGTGGACCCCACCAACCTGCCTGGCCTCAAGTCGCCATCGTCGGCGAATCCGTCAGCCATTGGACATGGGCCGCTCGCCAGGAGCGCCACCACTACGCAGCAGCCCGATGATGACTTCCTGGATATGCTAATGCGCTGCCAGGGCTCGCGGCTGGAGGAGCAGCGGTCCGAGCTACCGCGCCCCAATGTCACCATGGACGCAGAGGCGGAGGCACCACCGCGATCCGCACCAGAGGCTGCTGCTGCTGGAGCAGCACGTGGGCAAACCGGTCGCGGAGCAACCGTGCCCGATGAGGATTTCTTCTCACTGATCATGAAGGTCCAGAGCGGTCGCATGGAGGATCAGCGCGCCTCGATTCCGTTCCGAAATGCCAACAATAACAACAACAGCCGTAGCAACAACAACGGCTCAGCTGGCGGAGCTGGCAAGTAAAGGGGTAGAGAAAAAGTCCAAAAAGTGAGAGTCCAACCAAACAATCCTATAAATCCATCCCTGGCCGCAGCTCCTGACTCATTTCGTTGTAAGCGCATCTTGCGGCCACTTATTCAGTCGTTTAATTTTGGAAATTGGCTGCTAAACGTTTTGTTCTTTTACAAGATTTATATATACACACGTACACGAAATGCATTAATTTATGAATAGCAACTAACCACGTAACCAAATATTAGGGGCGTATAGGGCCTCGTAGACACGAACAGAGGGAGAAACTTCCATTGGATGCACACACTCATCCAGTCACGACTCATTACACACTCGACCATGAGCTGGCCATGATATTGAACGATCTGCACTCGAGTCTTACGATATTAACATTTTAATTGCATGTGCAAGTAGCCTAAGCCGATAATATACTAATCCAATTTGCTCAATGGACGGAACCAAGTCTTCTCTATGATCAATGATCTTACATTCTCGCAGCCGCATTCAGCTAAACACTAAGTTTTAAGTCCATCGTACCATCCTACATGTAAGCAATGCATTTTCCAAATCAAAAATCTACAGATATTTCCAATTGTAACCATGAGTATTGCATTTTTCTATCTATCGATCTGAACTCTGAACATATTTTTAAGCCACTTACAATTTTTGTTAGTATATTAGCAAGACACAAAGAATAGCTGCTCGGGATTCCATTTGAGGACCGGATGTTTTGTGAGCACTTAGCATACGATACGATATACACAACCTTACGTACACATATACAAGAAACATATGAACAATATATAGTTATACCAATGTCAAACGATTTTCCTCTGCGGGGATTGTTCTACACAAAACAAAAACACAAAACTGAGTTCGAGTTGAATGAAATGAAGCCAAAATTTACTAATGTTATACTTTTATGTAGCACAAGAGGTGCACTCATGAAGCTAATTGTAAAGATAGCGATTGATCGATCGTTTGATCTACAGCTACAAGAAAGATACCATACAGGCGGACAATTATGTCATGTATTATTAAATATTAAAATCAAAATTGTTTGCTGACACGTTCGTCTTTTTATTATTACGATTAGAGGACGGTTTTAGATACATATACTTTATTTGCGTTTTGAGAACTTATTGCTATGCGCAGAAAAACAATTTATTCGATTTTAAAGCTTTATTCATAAATTAATCGTCTTAGGTTGCTAGAACATATGCGATAAGTATTCGAAAGTGGGTTCCCTCTAGTCGCACTCCCCTTTTGGCTTAGTTGGGGCAGAATCAAGGCCTCTGATCTCCTCCCCCCTAAAAGTAGATCTTAAATTTGCTCTGTTTTATTTACAAATTGATTTAGATAACGCAGCAACGGAAGGCCTACGCCGCGAACCCCTTCTTGCTGTCCATGTCGGCGGCCAGCACGAAGATGGGTGCGGAGTAGTCCACAGGCTTGTCGCCTCCCTCACCCTTCAGATAGGGGTTCGCCGCCTTGAGGTTCCGGTTCCGCTTCAGCATGACGTAGACCACAAATATGCTGACCAGGAAGGCGGAGCTGGTGGCCATAATGAACAGCACCAGCTGGATGGACTCGTCCTGGGCGGTGGCCGCCTGAGCCACAGGAATGTGAGCACTGCGGTGCACAAAGTGGGAGCGGGTCAAGTCCGGCCGGAAGTGACCGCCCGCCAGACGGAAATCGCCGGCGGAAATGGCCGCCTCGATGGCAAAGGCCAAGTCCACCTTGGCCTCGTTGTGCAACTCAAAACGAACGATAGCGGATCCATCGAAGTTCTCCTGGACGCGCAGGTTTTCCACGGATTCGCCGCCAAGCAGCTGCTGCAGTTCGCTCCGAATGGTGTCGTAGGCATTCCTTACACTC